GACTCAAATATTCGTGCAAAGTAAGAGCAGAATTTCTATTCATATAGGGTTTAATACAACACTCCTATATGTTCTGAAATAAAATGTAAACTGGTTATTCATCCGAGTATCAAGGTGATGAGTGCAGAAAAAATTAAAACCGCTATCTAAGTGGTGACTGAAGATGATGAGTGTAGCAAAAAGTGAAAAGTGAAAACCGCTATCTAAGTGGTGACTGGATGGGATACCGATTGGTTCTACCTGATCAAATTAGGTTCTGAATTTCATGAAATATAGTTTGAAATTCTGGACGGATGAGCGGTCTATAGGAGTTTTAAATTTTGGGTGATAAAACTCAAAAGAAATTTCAATCAATTTAGAAAGCATGACGAAAATCCTTTATATATATATTTACATAGGATGGCTAAAAAAATTATTGGGTTTAATTTTCCTTAAAAAAATGTGCCCTATAATTGGGATGGAGGGAGTAGCAATTTACCTCCTCCATCCATAAAACTATAAATGTGATATATTTTAGTATTAGCTAAAGTAGCGAAACAATTAATCTTTATTAAATCCTCATTAAGCCACAAATTGTCCATCGTTAAATGCAGGCATCAAACTTTATAAATCGTTTGTTTTATTTGTGCTAAAGTTCTTCTAATTGTAAAGTAGTGAAAGAATTAATCTTTATTGAATTCTAGTTAAGCCACAAATTGTCCATCGTTAGATGTCGGCATCAAACTTTATAAACTCTTTGATTCGTGCTAAAGTACTTCTAATTAAAAAGGTGAAGCTGGGAGCAATATTTAAAAGGTAGCAGTATTTAAAAGGTACTAGCAGGCTTCTAATTAAAAAGGTGAAGCTGGGAGCAGTATTTAAAACGTACTAGCAGGCTTCCAAGAGAAGCTGCAAGCACCGAACGTTGGGTGAGGAAAAAAAAATCAACGGCATCTACTACCTCAGTTCAAACCTCTGTCCCAAAATACTGTTGCTTTAAATTTTTATTTGTAACTTTTGATTATTCGTCTTATTAAAAAAAATTATGGAATTATTATTTATTTTGTTTGTGACTTGCTTTATTATCAGAAGTACTGTAATTATGACTTATCTTTTATATTTGCACTAATTTTTCAAATAAGATGAATGGTCAAACGTTACAAGAAAAAAGTCAAAGCGACTACTAATTTGGAACGGAGGTAGTAATAATTTAAAGCTGGCTCCTTTGCTAGCTTTTGATTGGTCCACGTGGCACCTCTTACTTTGAAGAAAAATCATAAATTTATACTAGAGAAAAAAAACAATAACAATCATATGTGAGGAAAAATCTAGAAAAAAATATCACATATGGATTCCAGAGTCTTCCAAAACTATCTTCTCTTTTCAATCACACGGACTTCTACTCTTTTCCCTTCTATAAATATACCACGCCTACTCGGTACTACTCATATAACTCAAAATTTAGAGAAAAAAAATCACATATGGATTTAAGAGACTTCCAAAACTATCTCTCTTTTTAATCACACGAATTTATATTCCTTTGCCTTTTATAAATATACCACACGGTACTACTTCTATAACTCTAGAATTATATAGTAAACTCAAAATTATTAAGCAAAAAAATAAATCTAAAACAATGAATTTACATTAATTTTCCTTCTTTAGATATACTACACATACTCGATACTACTGCTATAACTCTAAAATATACACTAAACCCAAAATTATTATAGAAAAAAAATCAAAACATTTAAAAACATTAAAAAATAATAGTTTTTTTTATGAAATATTTAGTTATGACACAAGATGCATCCGGAATGACATCGTGCACATATTTTACAACGCAGACCATTATCAATCTATGTACCAGAAAATAAAATATTAAAAAAAATCATTCTAAACAAAATTAGATTTATTTTTTGAGTAAAAAATACGGATATATGATAATATATAATATATTAAAAAAAATAAAACTGCAAGTCTAAATGGAAAAAACGTTTTAAATTTTATACGGTTTGGGGTTACATGTAAAGTTTGTAACACAGCTAAAAATAATAAAAAACTAAATAAAATATCTAATATAGTTAAAAGAAAAACGTATAAAAGCAAATCGAGCAAATGTAGCTCTTTACTATGTGTCGTCTTACGTCAAATCGAATAAAGAATATTACTGTTGTAATAATTAATAATAATAAAAAGAACAGGTAAAATATTATAGTTGTGCAATCTTGTACATTACTGCATCTTTTGTCGAGTTGTACATGTGTTTTCGTTCTTTCGTTTTCCAGCTCGCAGATATACCTTAATCTAATCATGATTTCATGGGGAACGCCAATAGCTTTCTGCTAATAATGGTGGAGCACATGAGTATACCACTCAGATTGTTTTCAGTCTATCCTAGCGTTGTTTTACCATTTGCCACATAATGCACATGTTCGTACTGCAAAGTTGTATTCTCTAGCACCAATTTTGCTTGATTTGACAACAGTCTGGTGGTCATGTCATACTAGTAACTCAATTTTCTTTTTTCTTAAGCACTACTCTAATCAAGTAGCACGCGTTCATGAGTCTCACGTTGTTTACATTCGGCTATTCATATCAAAATTCATCTTAAAAGTAAGGGTGTGTTTAGTTCTTTGGGTATTAAACATAGACTAATAACAAAATAAATTATAGATTCCGCCTGTAAACTGCGAGACGAATTTATTAAGCCTAATTAATTCGTCGTTAGCAAATGTTTACTGTAGCATCATATTGTCAAATCATGGCGTAATTAGGCTCAAAATATTCATCTCGCAATTTACATGCAAACTGTGCAATTGGTTTTTTTTTCACATTTAATATCCTATGCATGTGTCCAAACATTTGATGTGATGTTTTTGGCCAAAATTTTTTGGGATCTAAACAAGACCTAATATTTATCATATGTCAACTAAATTCATCTCGTGCCTAACGCAAAGCGTATATATGTTTGTAGGTACACAAAAAAAATTCTCCAACTTGGCGGGTTGGTCTGCTCTCTCCTAAGCGCCCAACGTTGTAAGCAACGACCCATGTTGGTGGTGATGTTGTCAATGCTACTCTTAAACCCATGTTGGTGGTGATGTTGTCAATGCTACTTAACCAGATAAGGACGAAGATAAGCATAGTTATCGTCATTAATACTCGAGGCTTATGAAGAAATTCTCTCATTTTCTTTTTTTTCCTTTTTTACTGTTTTAGTTCAATTGCACTTAGGTTGGGCGTTTCTGTTTGAACGACATTTTAAATTTGTAAACCGTTTGTTTTGTTAGTTTGGCTTACTCGCTGGTCTGGTGTGATGTCATCTGCTTTTAGTTATGATTTACCTGTTTAGATGAAAAAAAAGTTAAAGAAAATTAATAGATTATATGTGTTGTGATCAAATAGATGGTTTCGACAAACAGGGGAAGGTTTTTAGGGGTGGAGAAATATAGTTGATTGTACTTGGTAAACTCGCATGTGGGGAGGGCTAGCGAATATGTATACGCATTTCGGTATACTTCAGCTAGGGCTGACTGGAATCATCGACCAATCGAAACTGTCAAGATTTTTTTTCAATGAATGAATGAATGGATGGGACATGTTGCAACTAGCAACTTGCGATCAAGTCTAATGCATGTTTTCTTATATATAAAAAACAATCTAGAATATGGATAAAAGAGTTTTGGATAAAAAAACGAAGGGAATAGGTGTCCCTAGAGCCAATGGTCTTTGGAGTTGGAATAGTGGGTAAACAAGGATTATTGGCACGAGAAAATTAGTGTTATGCACATTTTAAACTAATTTTAGAGGATCGAAACACTTTATTTTAGTATGCAAAGTTCGTTTTATATTAAATTTCAAGAGTATAGGTAGTTCACATTACAGTATCGTAGCTATAGGAATTTGCTATTTTAGCACAATCAGTATCGCTTATCGTTGTTTTTGGAACTATTAGAGCAAGTTTAATAGTATAGCTAACCACGGGCTACCAATTATAACTAATCTAATAGCCCATTCATACAATAGTTAATTATAAAAATATAGTACACCATAATACCCGGTCCCACCTCTCATAAACACGTAACGTGTTGGAGTCCGTGTTGCAACTGGCTACAAATTTGTAGTCCGTTTTCTTCTCTATATTCTCTTTTCTTCTCGATATGTGGTTATAGCTGGCTTATAGCTTGCTATTGTACCTGCTCTTACAAAACTAATTAAATTCGTTTCATAATCAAGGAAAAATGGTTTATATAGCGCGTTGAGACTAACACGGCGAATCATACTACCGGACCTGTACGAGGCTTTCATATTATTTATAGGGTTATTAAAACTGATTATTTACTCTATAATTTAAAGAATACATTTCCTAAAAAAACTTTCTCTTCTAATGTATTATTTAGACTGTATGTTTAAAGCCGTTTTTTTAGTTTATTTCTTAAAACAATTGATTTATTCAATCTAAATCAAAGAAAGCCTAATGTACGGCGCCATGGAATTTCAATTGCGTTTGACCATATATTTTATTATTATTATGTAAATATGAAAATAATAAATCACGCTTAAAATATTTTAACAATAAAATATATCATAACAAAAGAAAAACAATATTAACATATTTTTTTATAAAAAGACAAATGTCTAAATGTACATTAAAAATCAACAACGTCGTACCTTGAAAATATAACAGTATTTGTAGTGGTATATATGCAAATACAATTGCCACCAAAAAGGAGAGAAAAATGACTGGGTTGCAAAGCTGATAATTTGGTTGCGACCATTTTTCTAAAACAACAATTTAATTTCTCATCTGCTATCGTACACCATAGCAATGCCACGTGTTAGAATATGTTCACACTGAAATAATGAACCAACGTATTCCTCTCTATCTTTTTTTTCTCCTCTTAAAAAATATTTTTTTAGTATAAATCCCTTTCTTACCTGTGCCGGCTTTAACCAACGTATTCCTCTCTATCTTTTTTTTCTCCTCTTAAAAAATATTTTTTTAGTATAAATCCCTTTCTTACCTGTGCCGGCTTCTCCGCTTGTTGCATTTTACTGTCCCCATGCAGACAATGCCAAAGGGATAAACAGAGCTAAAATTGGTGAAAATTCACTCGAATCCAAATGTAAACAACCCATTTTTCTCCTGTTCCAATCCCATCCATTCCATTCCATTCCTTCTCCCTGTGCTCGGATTCCTGTTCTTGCAGCTGATCCCTAGATCTTCCTCTTTGCCCGAGAATTTTCCGCCCAATTCCCCACTCCGATTCCTCTTCTTTCGCCCAAATTTTGGCTCAACATTTCGCAGCGCAATCTCGAGCTGAATCTTGGGGGGTAAAGCTTTGCTTCTTGGAATCTTGGTGCGGTTTTTGGGGGAGATTTGCGAGCGTTTGGAGCCGAGAAGATGAACAGGGAGAAATCCCCGATCCCGGGAGACGGCGGCGACGGGTTGCCGCCGCAGGCCACCCGCCGGGCGGGCCCTCCGGCGGCGGCGGCGGCGGCGGAGTACGACATCAGCCGCATGCCGGATTTCCCGACGAGGAACCCCGGCCACAGGCGCGCCCACTCCGAGATCCTGAGCCTCCCCGAGGACCTCGACCTGTGCGCGGCCGGCGGCGGCGACGGGCCGTCGCTGTCGGACGAGAACGACGAGGAGCTCTTCTCCATGTTCCTCGACGTGGAGAAGCTGAACAGCACGTGCGGGGCGTCGTCGGAGGCGGAGGCGGAGTCGTCGTCCGCCGGCGCCGCGGCGGCGGTGGCGGCGGCGGCCGCCGCCGCCGCCCATGGAGCGAGGCCGAAGCACCAGCACAGCCTGTCCATGGATGAGTCGATGTCGATCAAGGCTGAGGAGCTCGTCGGGGCGTCGCCCGGGACGGAGGGGATGTCGTCGGCGGAGGCCAAGAAGGCCGTGTCCGCGGCCAAGCTCGCCGAGCTTGCTCTCGTCGATCCCAAGAGGGCGAAAAGGTGTCATCTTTTTTTACATTAGCTTTCTGTTTGTTCTTGTGAAAATTTGTTATTTTACAGTAGGCGATTTTTTCTTGTTAGTTTTGTTGTATTAGTCTAGATTTGTTTTTGAAATGTATTCGTAGTTTGTTTAATTACATGTCTCATAGCAAATGTTGCATTGCCTGTGCGAATTTCTTGTGGGGGGTGATTATTACCTTAGGGAAGAAACTCTGTAAGTATGTATCAGTGCAAAAAAATAATTTCTCAAGAGTCGTTTTAGAGAGTAAATTGTGTGAAAAGAAAGATAGATCTTGGCAAGTGGGGAAGAGTTTAAAAGGAACCTGATTCCCTATTACTGCCACCATCTGTCGCCTTGAAAATCAAGTGATTTCGTGTCATGCATTGACGCACATGATATCATGCCTATGCTGATTCTGATTCGTGATATGGAACATCTGGTAGGATTTGGGCTAACAGACAATCTGCGGCAAGATCAAAGGAAAGGAAAATGCGATATATTGCTGAACTTGAGCGCAAGGTGCAAACCCTGCAAACAGAAGCAACAACACTGTCAGCCCAGTTGGCACTGCTACAGGTATACACTGTTGCTCTGATTTCCCCCTTTATAGTCTTTTGCAGGATCATTTTGGATGGTTTGAAGAAATTAGACCTGTCTAAGTAGCATGGGTGTTAAAACTACACTTTGGTCTCTTTCAGACCATTATTATTTTGTTGCGAAGACCATTTAAGTTTTAGAAAAGGATTAAACAATCCTTATGTTTATTATTATAAGAAATCTATTTGATGGCCCTTTGCTGCATGGTGGCCTGGTGGCTTCCTGCAGGTCACTCTGTCACGGGGATGTTTTGTAATATTAAAATAGTTATTTTTTCTAGGAAAACCATTTGAAGAACAATATTGGCACAAGTACATCGCAAGTGACATTGTTATATTGACACATGATGATATAATATTAGTTTAAGCATCATGTTGTATTCTACAAGATGCACTATCTCATCTCCTTGTGCCTGCGGTGCAAAGCTAATAATGAAGTTCCACTGTACTTTATGTCATTTGTGTCCTTGGTGGGTGGGATATGGGGGAGAGTGACACAATCATTTTCTTCTAGTTGGTATCCTAGTCACTGGGCCCAGACAGGATCGATGTTTTGAAAAAAAAAGGGTCTATTATGGGTTATGGCCCGGTCCATCTTGAACCAGTGGAAGCCCGGTTGGTCTGGGTGGGTTTATTGCAGGATAAGGAGGCTTAACCCTCACGTCTGTACAGGTAATAGAAAAAAAATGTTTTAAGCCAGATTTGGAACCTGAGGGATTAAGAATGAAGTAACCTGCGCTATCCAGCTAAATGCAATGGCTGGTGGTGTCCACTGGTGAAAACTGAAATAAACTAATTATGGTTTGAGGGATTACTATTTAATAATTGGCCATTACTAGTTTAGAATACACGATATTATCAAAACAAAGCTCATAAATTGTATTGCATTCTCATCAATCCAACTTCAGTTACATATTTCAACAGCAGTCATAGCAGCAATCTTTAGTCCCTAGCTAGTTGGGGTAAGCTAGGGATGAAAACTTAGTCGAACACTCGAGCCACATGAACCAAAAGATTTTTTTTGAAAGAAAAATAAATTGTGCTGTTTCGTTAGAAAAGACTGTTCTACAAGACTGTGTGTGGCGGTCTGTTAATATCTGATCATGTCATTCTAAATGAATTACTAATGATGCAAATACGTGTGCACATTATGCGCATATGAAAGCTGGAGCTAGCAATTGAATGAAGTTTATATTGTGCTGGTCAGACCTGTATCATGGTCATTGATGCATTCATTCCATCAAAGCATGAAACCATTGTCTAACAAGGAACAAATGCACTCACCTTCTATCCATAATTAATATTTCTGGAATAGGCATGGAAATTAATTCAATAAACTGGCGTTACATATCTGCAGAGTATGACCTTAACAGAACAGTTTTACAAACTCTGCATTTATCTAGAGCTTTGTTCCCTATCCATGGATACAGATAATGCATCCACATACTTAACTTTTTGGATGCTCAATTTTTGTTTAAACCATGAATTTGGATGGCCTAATGATTTTTGCACGTTATTTTGTCATGACAGAGAGATACCAGTGGGCTAACTACTGAGAATAGTGAACTGAAGCTACGTCTGCAGACCATGGAGCAGCAAGTCCACTTGCAAGATGGTAATATTCATATATTTGATCCCTAGTTCTGCCAAATTTTAGCCTTTACGGTTTTCTGTGATTAGGCCTACTGCCTTAATATTAATATTTGTAAGATCTTTGTTTATGCATATATTGGAAGTTGCCTTAGTAAAATCTGTCACCTATAATCTAAGCACCTGTATAAGAGGAAGTTTATAATTTCTCAATGATAACAAAATATTTTTAGTTCATATAGTGGTTTTTTTCCTCCTTTTGGCCTCTTCTTTGTATTTATGTTATTTAGTGCTCAATACAATACAACATTGTCGTCCTCAAAACTAAAAACAACCTTGTCATCACCTTTCATGATAATGGCGTGCAAGAGAATTTATAGGGGAGTTGCTGTTTTGTTACTTACATTTGGTTAATCCTGATGTTTTGCTGTTTTGTTACTTACATTTGGTTATTCCTGATGTAGCTTTGAATGACACCCTGAAGTCTGAGGTTCAGCGGCTTAAGGTTGCAACCGGTCAAATGGCGAATGGTGGAGGGATGATGATGAACTTCGGTGGCATGCCACACCAATTCGGAGGCAACCAGCAGATGTTCCAGAACAACCAGGCCATGCAATCTATGCTGGCAGCACACCAGCTGCAACAGCTCCAGCTTCATCCTCAGGCTCAGCAGCAGCAGGTGCTGCACCCTCAGCATCAGCAGCAGCAGCCATTGCACCCTCTACAAGCGCAGCAGCTCCAGCAGGCGGCACGAGACCTCAAGATGAAATCGCCGATGGGCGGCCAGAGCCAGTGGGGAGATGGCAAGTCAGGAAGCAGCGGCAACTGATGCGTCATTTACAAATTTACAAAAAAATTCCCCAAAGTTTCGGTGTAAGGTTGTGGTTTAACAACCATGGAGATGGTCTGTTTCATTGAGATGATGATGATGTGCAAGAGTAGTTATCATCATCATCATCGGTAGGTTCAGGTTGGCTTCAGCTTCAGTCATACAGTTGGGTGGATGTTCAGTTGAAGAGTTTATCTGTAGCTGGTTCAGTAAGGAAATGGTCGAATAATCAAGAATTCCAGGTTAAAATCTTTCGTTTCTTTGGTAAGGTAGCACATCACCAAGATGTACTGTTGTAGTGTTGTCTACAGTTCCATAAATTCAAGTAGCCAGTATACGCTGTTGTTTAGTTTTTCTCCGGTTTTTTAGAGGTAGAGGCGTTTCTAGTGTTAATCGAGAGGTATACTGTATACCTTCTGATTAACATGTAAATCACTCAACACCTCTACCTCCATAAGGACCGGAGAAAAACTCAATTGTTTAATTAAGATGCCATTCATGACTAGATGTTCTCTGTCAGATGATCATATTGCACTCTGCTCCCTCTGCCTCATTAAAAAAAAATAAACCTAGCACACATGATGTGAGCGTCATCTATCTAAATTCATAATACTAATATATGTTATATCCCGTATTTGATTTGTTTTTATGAGACGTAGAGAGTAGTTAGGAACTCGTGATTCAAACTCCTGACATATTTGATTCTAAAATAATGTTGGGTTAAATAAATCGGTTGATTACAACCGAAAAACTGGATATGACACATTATAGTACAACGGGGACATAAAAACAAATCTAGAACTGGATATGACACATTATAGTACAACGAATCTGAATAAGATATATCCAGATTCGTAGTGCTTGGATGTGTCACATTCAGTACTCAGGCTGATTTTGGATTGATTTTTTATTGGACTGAGGGAGTATAAGAGAAGCCGGATAATTCACTGATACTCCAATGGATCATCAATCATCCGTGGCACCAGAACACCAAGATTGCGTCTTTGCAATTACAACGTGAGAAGGGGTTAAACACTTGGTAATTATAACACGCTCAGCTCAGCTCAGCTCATGGACAAAGGTGAGCAGCCGACCAAACGCCTAAAAAAAAAAGCTCACCGGTTGGTGTTTCCTGGGTGCAACCATGGCCACCAAACATGGCCTTCTTTACCGTTTTATGGTTGAACCACTTGTCCTGTCACGCCACTATAAACTCGTTACACTGCTACTAGCTAGTCTACTACCTCGGTGGTGCACCGTGCACGCCGCCACCTCTCGCCATGCCGGCGCCGGCGAGCTCCCGGTACGTGCCGCTCGCGGCGGCGCCGGAGCAGCGGCACGACGGCGAGGCGGAGGAGTGCTGCTACGCGGCGACGACGACGAGGTACGTGCCGCTGCGGCGGCGGCGGGGGGAGCAGGATCAGGCCGAGTACGCGGCGAGGCGGGCGCTGTTCCTGCAGAGCTACCGGTTCACGACGGCGGCGGTGTCCGCCGGCGAGCGGGACGACGGCGGCGTCGGCGGCGGCGGGCTGCGCGGGCGCGTGGCGCGGCGGGTGCGGGAGGCGGTGGCGAGGGCGGTGTCGCGCGCGCGCGGCGCGGCGCGGTGGTGGGTCGGCGGCGGCGTCGGGGTGGCGAGGGCGTGGCCTCGCGTCGGGTGGTGGTGGCGGCCGCCGTCGCCGCGCGCGCGCCTCGGGTGCTTCGGCGGCGGCGGCGGCGGCCACGGCCGCAGTAAGCTGCACTACCTGCACCACTTCGCGTGACCGACCGATCGATCCATCGGACGGCGGAGGACGCGCCACGTATGACGGATGTACGTGTAAGGAGAGAGCCATGTAATGTATTGGTGTACCCGTGTACGTATATACTAGCACATATGTGAACGTGAGTACTTGACAGCTTTGAGTGTGCCATTGCATTATTAGAACAGGAACTGTTGCGTCCAAAAAAAAAAACAGGAACTGTTTGAATTGGGTACATTTGCTAGCTGCGAGCCATACAAGTTGGCTTAATTTGGATCAGATTGTTAAGCACAATACATATTATTGCTGCGAGTTATCTATTTTATTATAGAGGAGATGCACTGTGCTTATTATAGAGGAGATGCACTGTGCCGTGTAAGGGACATGTAGTTTTAACTTCAAAGTTCCGTGTTTAATGCTCAACATGTTAACATTTTCTCCTTAAAAATGTTTGGAGGGACTCTCTCCCTTGAAATCTCGTAATTTCATTATAGAGATGAATCAGATCACTAAAATGAACTTAACGGATAATTTAAAGCAATTGATCTAAGAATACTTTTATAAATGTAGCAGAGCAAATGATCTGTTTTCAACAATTCGTTGTATCTGAAAATTTTGGTTGTCTAGTAGATTATATTTGGTAACCAGAAAGTTAGCTTATCTTTGCATCGATCATTGACTCGTAGTTGGCAGCAACATGCAACGCTTGCAACAATGCAATGCTTACAACTAGAACTACCATGCGACCTCTAGCTCGCTCGATAGTGGGTGGCAGATCACTAGATCAGGCCGGCCATGAGCAGCAGCGTGGCGTCGCCGTCCACCTCGCCGCCGACGACGCCGCCGTCGCCGCTGCCGGTCAGCGTCGGCCCGGGGAACCGGAGGTACGCGTTCACGCCGTCGCCGTCGCCGTCGCCGCCGTGCCCGTCCTCGCCGGCGGCGCCGAAGCTGACGCCGCCGCCGCACTCCTCCTCCGCGTTCTCCGTCCACGCGCGGCGGCTCGCGCGACCGGCGAGGCCGAGGCGGTTTGATCTCGGAGCATGCTGGTAATTAATTAGCAGAGTATTATAGAGCACTAATCACTCGTTAACTCTCGTCAGGTGAGAGTGATTTAAGTGTTTGTGAGTATGAAATTTGCAGCTTGGAGTGGATTCTGATGCTGCTGTGCTGCTGCTGTTCGTCGAAGATGCGACACTGACGGAGGATCGAGATGGGTCTAATATATTTTACGTGAAATCTTTCTGCGCGTTCGTCAAAAAAAAAGAGATGGGACAATCGTATATGGCGTGTGAAGTTTATTGCCCTGATTGACGAATTATCAGTGAATTAATTGTTCAGTGATGATTTGAGTCGGTGAAACAGTAGTGTAGAATAAGCTGGAGATATATATCAGGGGGAACGGGACAGTTTGGTTAGCATCGTGTCTGAGAAAATTACGTGCATAAGTTATTTCTCACATAATAATACGTGTGGGTAAGAACATCCAGAAGCTATATACTCCAGATGGTTGTCGAGCTTTACCACATCTGTGACAAACGAAGTTTGACCACCTAAGACCAATTTTTAGTTCATGCCATACCGTGATGTGCTGCAAGTTCGTAGCAACAGACATGCCTATTAGTTATAGTCTTACAGAGTTTGGTTGGAAAGCTTAAAATTATGAGAAACAGTTTATTGATAGTCAGCTTCTAATAATATGAAAATATTAGGATTTCTAACTTTTGATCTTTAGTTCATTTGTTGGATTATATAACTACAACTTCTCAGAATATAAATGAAAGGTTGAACTGTTTAAGAGAGTTTCTTATTCTGAAAGAAGCTGTAGCTGCCAGATACTTACTCAAGCAAACCCTCTAGAGTCATTTTCTTTATTGCATCTTACTACAAGTATGATGGCACGTCAAGTTTTACAAAAGTTCTTTTTTAAAAAAAATATATGTAGATGATGGTCTTTTATGAATCTATTTTTCTAATTGAAATTCAACGCGAAGAAGGATTCTCTATTGAAGGTGTTCCATCCACCCTTCATTTAATATAGACCTAAACGCTATTAGGTAACCATATATCCTTTAAAAACCGCTTGAATGCCATCAAAAACCAATAAACCACCGCTAAATCAAACACACCAATACACTTCCAATATAAAATCTTACGAGGCTAGAGATTTACGTTTCATCCCAACCTCTTCGGAAACATTATAAGATGATACATGATACATGTCTACAAATATAAATACTAGAGTTAGCATGTGCGTCTTTCGTATAATTTTTGTTTAGAAAAGAATCACCATTAAACTAAAACCACATCACCAGTTCACTACAACCACCAATTCACCACAACCTGCCAAATATCATGTGTACATGCTGGCACGTCAATTATGCAAGGAGACCCCTGAGACTTGCCGAAATTTTTCATTCGAGTCCTCGTGATCCATCCTCCCCGACAGATCGATCCAATTCGCATCATCGCATCACACACCTCCTCCTCCTCCTCCTCCCCCCGCGCCGCCGTCATCCGCGGCCTTACCGGCGACCGACGCGGCCGCCGCGTCGCCCTCCCGCCGCCGCCGCCGCCGCCTCCGACGACGGGTTTCCAAACGGATCCGGTGGAATTCCATCCCTCTCGAGCTTAGCGAGGGGGGAGAGAGAAGAGGAAGAAAGTGAGGGGAAAAAAGCTTCACAAGAATACGCGCACCACGCATGGGGATCCGAGTCGGGAGGTAGACGGAGGGGCGAGATCCGGCGAGGCGGAGAGCGGGAGGGGATTGTCGCGTGGTTTTTGGTTGCTCCCCCCTACCGCCAGCTCCGGCGATCCCGACCACCCACCGGCGACGATGAGCGGCGGCGGCGGAGGAGGCGGAGGCGGAGGAGGAGGAAGCCCCAACAACACGGAATGGCGCTTCAACCAGACGCTCCGCAACGTGCAAGGGTGAGCCCCTTCTCTCGTCCCCTCTGAGCTCCCATCACGATCCGATTCCTTTGAAATGGTATGCATGCTGGTCTGCTTGGTGCGAAGCTGCGTGAAAGTCAGAGCTTCCGTGTAGATTCGGGTGGATCCTGGTGCATTCTAGAGCGGTGGATCTGGGAATTTTCAGAGTATTGCGAGTTACATGGCTGTCTAGTGTTAGAGAATGTTTCTTGGTTAGGTGAACTTATTCTGAATAAATCCAATATCTTTTTGCTAGAAATACTTATTTTTTTTGTCTAAACGGTATTCCACATAGTATGATTATAGATTATAATCGTACTCTGTGGAACATTACAATGGAGCTTTATTGTATCCCCTTTTTCCCCTTATATGTTTTGTCAGAATGCTCAAAGGGCGGAGCTTTCCTGGGAAGGTCTTGCTGACCCGAAGATCAGAACCTCTTTCACCTCCTGAATACTCCCCGCGCTATGAGAATGATCGTGATGAATACGAACAGAATGAAGGCTCACAAGAAGTAATGTGGCATTGGTTGGCATCGCTTTCAGCTTGTAAACAAGTTAGTTTGTAATTGATGAACTTCATTTTATACAGGGAAAAGGGCAAGCATCTGGAAACACAGCTGATAGTATGAGTGCAAAGAAATCAAATCCTCCATCAACAAGTAGCACCAATTCATTACCAGATGCCCAAGGATTAGTTTCTGGGGCTAGAGCTACAGATTCTGCACGAATTGCTAAATTCACGAACGAACTATCTAGGCCAGCTGTTATATTAGGTATGCCTATTTTCTGTACAGGGTTGATTAAATCATCTGTTGGGTGTACAATAATTTTGGTTTAGCAATCAATGTTTCGATTATTTTCTTGTCATTTTCTTTTTCATCATTGTCACTGCCAAGATGGATGGAAAAGGGTATAAACTTTATGTAGGGTGACAATCTTGTGTCTTGTGAGTTGTTGCCCCTGTATTTTGTTGCAGCTTGTTCATTCTGAAAAATATTTGCAGTTTCTCTGATTCTTCTAGGTTCCATTAGCTTGTCCAGAATTCAGTTGAAACCCACTGTTTGTTCTTAATTTTTTAGACAAGTTGCGGGAACTGTCTTGGAGTGGTGTTCCACCTTATATGCGACCTAATATATGGAGACTTCTTCTGGTGAGCTTATTTCAAGACATGTTTCAATCCTTTTAATAGGTGTTCCTGTTTCGAATTTAATGTCAGCTGGCTACAGGGATATGCACCACCTAATGCAGATAGAAGAGAAGGTGTTCTGACGAGGAAAAGACTTGAGTACGTTGAATGTGTTTCTCAATACTATGATATTCCTGATACTGAACGCTCTGATGAAGAGATTAATATGCTTCGACAGGTTTCCCCTGACTTTTTCGACTTTGAATTTGCCTTTTTAGGTTCCCCAATAGTTCATGTAATCAATTATATAAACTCATGGTTTCACTTGTAGATTGCTGTTGATTGCCCAAGAACTGTGCCAGATGTTACCTTTTTCCAGCACCCTCAAATTCAGAAATCTCTGGAGCGCATTTTGTATACATGGTGAGTCACCGCCCTTTGCTGGTTCATTTTGATTTGTCAGAATCCTTGTTTAACACACAATCTAGCTAAGAAAACATGACATTTTTCCATGATGCACAATTCCTGCTTGTGCTACTCCCCTTGTGGTTCCCTATGCAGAACATACACGTTTGTGAACCTCTCATAGTTAACCTGGCACTGTTTCATCATTCTAGAGGGAAAATGTGATAAATGGGTGGAGTTTGCATGATACATGACTTGTCATCTCTGATGACTAGTTCAAATTTCCCAAGTTGGTCTAATAAGGTGTTTAGGTTATGTTTGATATACATTGTGTTGATATCAGTACAAGGTGCCTGTTCTTTTGGCAGTTATGCTTGTTCCATCAGTTCCACATTAGTGTTCTCTTCCAAGTTCCAACAAGGATCAATTATGTTGGCATCAACACAATGCCGCCACCACTACCTACAATTGTTTGTTTCTTTTCTGTATTATTCCGTGATACAGTGACTCACCATTTCCAGGGCCATCCGTCATCCAGCAAGTGGTTATGTTCAAGGAATAAACGACCTTCTTACACCATTCTTGGTCGTATTCTTATCAGAGCATCTAGAGGGCAACATGGACACCTGGTCCATGGAAAAGCTTTCTCCACAGGATGTTTCTAATATTGAAGCGGACTGTTATTGGTGTCTTTCAAAGTTTCTCGATGGTATGCAAGACCATTACACCTTTGCTCAACCAGGAATTCAGCGCCTTGTTTTCAGGTTGAAAGAACTTGTTCATCGTATAGATGGTAATGTTCCTCCAATTCAAATATTTATGAACCTGTTCTATTGCTAGAATTATATCTACTGAAAGAAAGGGAACTTAAGGATTTAGAGGACTATTACAAGGGGATGGATAATAATAGGCGTATAGAACAGTTCAATGTGCTCTACATTATAATTAGATCTGTGCATTATGAACTGCACTGTTCACTGTCACTAAGCTTGTCTTTCTTGAGATCTGTTGTAGTACAGAATAGTTATGTGTTGTTTGTAGAAGAAAAAAAGAACAGTTTTGCCTAGTACATTAAAATTCCAATGTTTAACCATCTGGCATCTTCTGGTTATACAGAACCTGTGTCAAAGCACATGGAGGAACAAGGATTGGACTTTCTTCAGTTTGCGTTTCGTTGGTTCAATTGTCTTATGATTCGTGAGGTCAGCGTTGTAAAGGCCTGTTGCTTAGATGTGATCTATATATTGTTGCTAATATGTCTCATATCCTTGTAGATTCCTTTTCATCTTGTAACACGCTTGTGGGATACCTACCTTGCTGAAGGCGATTATCTACCGGATTTTCTTGTATATATATCAGCTAGCTTTTTGTTAACGGTAAGTTGAAGTACCCCTTGACTGTTCATAATTATTTTTTTCAACTTCAGTGTATGCAAGTGTTGCATGCCTGGTGCAGGCAAATGCAGTTTTCACAATGTTTCTGGTGTAAATACTAATGTCCAAGTCCATTGTAATTAAGTTCTCTCTTTATTTCTACCTCAGTGGTCAGACAAGCTGAAGAAACTTGATTTTCAAGAGATGGTCATGTTCCTTCAGCACCTTCCGACGAGGAACTGGGCTCACCATGAGCTTGAGATGGTGCTCTCCAGGGCTTACATGTGGCACACAATGTTCAAAAGCTCGCCAAGTCACCTCGCCAGCTAGGATACCCGATAATCATATCTGTAATCTATGACCTGATTTTGATGTACTCTAGACTTGTCCCCTTTGGGGAAGGAACCATGAGGAGACTTCTTTTGTTTTCAGTGCATACTATCAATTGTAACACTACCCCCAATCTGTATATTTTACTTACAGATTATTATCAATGATGATGAATAGATGGCATTCAATTTGTGTATTAATTCTTTGCATTTTCAGATGACTAATCTGAGCAATTCAATTACACGCATAAATGTATAATACTGAATAAAGGTTTCACCTTATTCGACTTACAGGAGTAATTAATTTTTGTTCTCATCGCAATTCACAATTGAGTAGAAAGATAGAATTTCATACGGCCTCATCTTTTCGCTTATGCTTATGCTTATCAGCTAAAATTTGAAGTTTCAACCTTAAATTTAGAGTTGATTTTGGGGGTTTTTTCATCAAAGTTTATTTTTCAGCCTTTGTTTTTATATCGCTAAGAACACGTATAAAAAGTTTTATTCGTAAAATATTTTTTGTTTGCAAATATGCTGATGGGGCGTATAGTCTCGATGAATTTGTGTTCTTAAATCTAGCATGCCGGATCAACTAATCTGGATGTTTTTTGTCATTCGGATTTACAAAGAAAACTATACTAACACAGTTCAGATTGCTTCCAGGAAACACCATGAATGAATCAATGAAGTTATGTTATTGGACTCCCTATTAAGCTAGATGAGACCCTAAACCAAGAATGGAGCTCACCGAATCTGTCTTTCCAATTCAACTTTACAAAAAGAGTAAAAAAGTTGCCTGCCATAGTTTGTGTAAAAGAACAACTTTACATAGAGAAAAATGATTCTAATTCAGGTTTACACAGAGGAATTCGTTGTGTTAACATTGTTCATGACTTAATGGTGGTTCCAGGAAGGCAATGAAGGTTGCATTTCTGAAGATGCCAGGTCTGAAATTGGACTGACTAGATAAGGTGAGTAAATCTATGGATGAATGGAATATGCTACATTAACGAATCTAACTCCCCTTTCCTTCAAGTTTACACACAGAAATTCGTTACCTATATATTATTATAGAGTAATATATTATAATTCACGTTTCCAGGAAGGCATGCAGTTGTGTGCCACGGAATCATTTCCACAAGAATCTCATCTTGTCGTAGCCGTCCTAATCTCATCTTGGACTTGAACACCCGAATCATTTTCACTTGAAGTTCTTTTTACCTGATATTCTGCGAGCACTAACTAACAGAAGCATGTCTAATGTAGTTCATTAATTAGGCAATCGATGGTTGTTGGTGTGGAAAAGATTGGATGACGGTACTTGATTTTAGGTTATCAATGGTGCCTACTACAATTTGACCATACAGTCCAGATTCTGACTGATATTATGTTCTAAGTAATATTAGACGCAACTAAACTAATGTTAATGCTTCAGCATTAGATCATGAAACATGTGTAAAGCAACTGTCCTTTTTACGAGATCTCTGACCATCCGAGGAATTTTCAGTGCCTCTGTTCTTCAGGCTTTGACAGGTTACTGACAAAAAAAAACGGCCTGATGACCAGATATCAAGCCAAAGTCTGCAAATAAAACATCGACAGTTCTTTTTTAGACAACTAATCTTAACAATTCGTCTTTCAGAACAAAAACCAATCTTGAACAATCCCATTGCATGCATAAATGCACAATCATATTTGATCATATTCCCAATCTGACAAAGGGAGCAATTTTGTTGATCATATCAAGCTAGGGTGACGAGACAACCATGTATTAGCGAATCTGATTGCCATTTTTCTTTCCTGCAGGTTTACACAGAGAGATTCTAAATGTACATGATATAGTTCATGCTGCTTCCAGGAACGCAACAAGGCCGCATTCTGAAGCTTCAAGTCCGACCTCGCAGTCTATCCCAGTCTCACACCATGTGCCACCGTTTATGCCACAGAATCATTTCCACGGCAAGAATACGGACTTTACTGTCTTCTCGAACCATCCCAATCTCATCTTGGACCTGAACATTCAGATCGTCTGTTCGATCTTTCTTTTCCCTCTGCTGTATTAGAGCCAGCATTAAATCTGACAAGCTGCAAAGAGAAAATAATTAACTCAAGGGTGCAAATGCGTAGGTGATAGATGGAGCAGCTTGTTGATGGCAACATTGGATGGTAAAATACTGCTGCAACTTTACAATTTGGTTTCGTCCGTGGTGCCAACCACAACCGTACAGTCAAGATTCTGACTGAGAATATATTCTTTCTCAAGTACTATCAGATTAGCAACTAAACTAATGCTTCCATTTCAGTGTTAGATCATGACAACATGTGAAAAGCGAGTGAGTACCTTTCTGACGAAAAATGCTCGTTGTTTCTTTCATTTCCGATCTCTCTGACCATCCGTGGAACTTTCGGTACGTAGTAGCTCCGTTCTTCAGGTTTTGCCGCCTGTCGGTTGCTGATAATAAATGACTCAATTCTTGGATCCTGGACGCTTTACAATCAGGACAAGGTCGATCAGAAGGAAAGAATCACAAATCTGCAAACAAAAAAAGAAACAATTAAACACACCAATTAGAAACGAATGGCATGGGAATCAGATTCCATTTCATCATTTCTCCTTGCCCATTTCTGCATAGAAAGTATAGTCGTCAAATGAACACGCTGAAAAATTTCAAACAAATTTCTGGAAACCTCTACCATCGTCTCCTGAACTATAATACAGTATTCATGTCAAAATCGAACACGCATACATATAGTACTACGTATGTATGTCCAAGTCGACGGCAACCATTTGGAGCTTGGAAATGGCGTCTGCCTGCAAGTCATAGCTACCAACATCTGAATATATCTATCTGATCTTGACTTGCACACCAAGCTCGATCTGCATTGTTTTTTTCCATGGTCAACACACGTAGGCAGAGGACGGCATATTTGAGTTTGACAGAAACAGCTAAACCAGCAGTACTCACTCCGTACCGTGAAAAACAAATTTAGTACGAAATGTGACATATTCTAGTACTACGAATCTCAAGATTCATTCATAGTACTAGTACCCGTCAGCTGTCATATCCCGTTATGGTTTTTTATTTCACAAATTTAGTACGAAATGTGATACATTCTAGTACTACGAATCTCAAGATTCATTTGTAGTACTAGTACCTGTCACATCCCGTTATGGTTTTTTATGGGTCGGAGGGAGTATGCGTCTCGCATGACACAATTCTGAATTTGTGATCGGATGATTCAGATTCCGACCAACAAACCTGCCTCGTCAGCATGCGCGTCAAGCTCCACCCATGGCCAGCCACCGCCCACCGACCTCAAAACCCTATAAAAATGCACCACCAGCCGAGGCGTCGAAATCAGCAGCAGCATCACACACACAATTCAAGCAGAAGCAAACACAATTCAGGCAAAGCAAACACGCACACCACACGTACTCGCTCACGCTCAGCTAGCAGACGGGCTGCCGGCGATGGCGGGTTCCAAGTCGGTGCGAGTGATCCTTCTCGCGGTGGTCCTGGCCGTGTTCGCCGTTCTCCTCGCCGGCGCGGCGGCGGCGAGGCCGGCGCCAGCAGCGGAGAGGAGCGGCGGGGAGGCGGCGGCGGCGGCGTACGTGGCGGTGAACCCGGCGGCGGCGGTGGTGGAGAAGGCGAGGGAGACGGTGGAGATGCTCATGGCGAGGCTGCCAGCTGGGCCCAGTCCAAAGGGCCCCGGCCACTAGCCCATTAGCTTAGCTTGGCCAGTGAGAAGCATCGACCTGAATATCTGATTAGGGCCCAGCCCAAAGGGCCCCGGCCACTAGCCCATTAGCTTAGCTTGGCCAGTGAGAAGCATCGACCTGAATATCTGATTATTTGTTTGTTGATTGATTCAGAATGACCACGTATTATACACACGGATGAATTGATGAGCGTATATATAGTTATTAAAATTAACCCTTAAAAATATGTATAGAGAGAGAGAGAGAGAATTGATGAATTAATGTATAGGTTGATATGATGCTAAGTGTATATATAGTTATTAAAATTGTTGTATTTTTAGTGTAGAGTAGTAAACATACTCTACACCCAGCAATTTTACTACACAAATTTAAGGGATTTTTTATATGATCTACTGTATGTTGCTCTGATTAAACAGCTTTAAAATGAGGAAAAAAATAAACAAAATTGCCGTAGCTACAACAGAGCCTGGACTCGCATGAACCGGCAAAAATGGCCTTTCTGTGGCTGCAATTATACAGTAATAATAATTAAGTCAATAACAATAACCTTTTCACTAATCCAGTAATCCACGTTATTCGCAGAACTTGTGGAAACTGCAGGAATGTACAACAAACACAAGCACCTGAACAAGATTAACCATGTCTTCATCTCATATATGAATAGAGGTTTCTGTTTGAAATTGGTTGCAGCAACAAGTTTGTTGGCGAGAAAATAATAAGCGCACCAACTTGATCATCTCCCTCTTGTTCCACTGCCAAAATCTTGGTTAGTTGATCACGAATGGAAGCAGAAAACAACTAAACATCTATCAGCATTCTATCCGAACCGCGCCGCTTTGTGTTGAGATGAACTTGGGCTTCCTGATAACCTGCTCCAAGCACTGGACGATGTCCCCAACCTGGAAATCGTTACAGTCCTGAATCACCAATCCACAGTCGTTACCCTTGTCGACCGTCTCTGCGTCCTGCTTCTCCCGCTTCAGAGATGCGCATGGACCCTCAAAGACGACATCTCCACTCCTCAAAAGCCTCATCGTCCCGGTTTTGCTTAAGTGCCCGTCAGTTATTCGGCAGCCGGCAATCTTTATGTCAGGCCCTTTTGACTTGCTACGCCCTTTCAGCTCGAATATGTTCAGAACCTCGGCTTCCCCTGAAACCTGGGTCTCAGGGGTGCCCGGTGCCTTCTCGACAATCTCCCGTCCCATTTCTTCAAGGAGATGATAGATCACCTTGTGCAGCAAAATCTAAAGAGCAGACATTAAAGTCAGCTAACTAAATCAAAGAAGGTAGATTAAGAACCAAACATAAGTACTATATCATTGAATTTTAATCTACAGATCTCATGGAAGATGGATCAACCAAGAATTATCAATGCATGGATCAGTAAATCGGTACATTAAGAACCAAACATAATTACCATATTATTGAATTTTAATCTACAGATTTCATGGAAAAGTTCAACCCAGCCAATTCAATCGATTACCATGGCCTCAATTATGCACACACACAAATTATTTAAAGATTGTCTTCCTATACAATATGGAGGAACAGTAGAGACCATGGAATCAGAACCACTACGGACAGTAGCAGCCTATGTTACCAGAAAGGCGACACAGGCCAAGAAAAGATGATATGGAAGATCACCAATGGTCACATTTCAAGGAACAGAACAACATCCCTTCCAAATATGCATTCAGCAGAAAACCAGACATAGAGTAGTAATAAACAAGGTACCTTTATGTTGGCTTGTGTTGCTGCTAGAGTGATAGCACTTGGAGGAGTACGGATGTTGAAACCGACTATATATGCCCGGCATGCTTGTGCCAGATCAATGTCATGTTGGCTTATTGGGCCAACACCAACATGAACAATATTCACAAACACCTACAAGGAGATGATATAGGCATGAGGACAAACTTAACAGAAAAAACTGTACTACATGATAAATCAAATACTACATATTATCCTTGGTCACTAATATCACAACCTGTGATCATATTTGTGAGGCTAACTACTAAGTAAAAACTAAAGGCATCAAACTGCATGACATAGATACCTGTGGACTATTAAGGCTTCTTAAGGCATCTGTAACTGCTTGAACACTGCCTTGTACATCAGCTTTCACAATGATGGGCATCTCAACTCTTTCAGGAGTCTCTTCACCAATTTCCGCCTCCTCTGTCATGTCTTCATCAATCTTTCGAAGCCTGTCTTTTTCCTGTTTTTTCTTCCGTCCTTGACTAAGCATTCTTGCCCTTTCTTCCGAGTCAACAACCACAACATCATCCCCAGCCATTGGAAGGCCCCTTAACCCCTCAATCTCAACAGGCATTGCAGGTTTTGCAGACTCTGTTATTTTCCCAGCAGTATCTCTAAGAGACCGAATTCTTCCCCACTCTGCTCCCACAACAATGTGCTGCCCGCTGACTAATGTGCCAGCCTTGACTATAGCTGTTGCCAATGGCCCCCTGCCTCTGTCTACTCTTGCCTCCACCACAAAAGCTTGGGCAGGTCCATCAATTCTAGCTTTCAGGTCCATTATCTCAGCCTGAAGGAGCAAAGCCTCTTCCAATTTGTCCAAACCAAGTTTTGTTACTGCAGAAATTTCTACAACCTGTACATCACCACCCATATCCTCCAAAAGCAATCCTTCTGAACCCAGCTGAATTCTGACCCTCTCAGGATCGGCTCCAGATTTATCACATTTGTTTACAGCAACTACAATGGGAACATTGGCTGCTTTTGCATGTGACATAGCTTCAAGTGTTTGAGGCATCACCCCATCATCAGCTGCAACTACAAGCACTACAATATCTGTGACAGCAGCACCTCTAGCCCGCATTGCACTAAAGGCAGCATGCCCTGGTGTATCAAGAAATGTGATAGAGGCTCCTGATGGCATCTCAACAACAAAGGCACCTATATGTTGAGTAATCCCACCAGCTTCCTTAGCCGCAACAGATGTTTGACGCAGGGAATCTAGAAGTGACGTTTTACCATGGTCAACATGGCCCATGATTGTTACCACAGCAGGACGTGGTTCAAGTGTGCCTTCACCAGTGTGCATTCTTCTGATATTAACACCAAGTTCCTGTTGAATAACCATGGAACAAATGGATTCATATTAAAATAAACAAAATATATAAAGCATTAAGACGCATGGTTACTCTAATAAAATCTTGTCAAACTAGTAAATTCTGTTAACATCAGATACTCAGATAGCTAGATTAAAAGAACATCAGGATACATAGAGATATTAAAGAAACATAATTAATACATACCATAGCAACTAACTCAGCAAGATCAATGCTGATAGCGTCGAACTCTGATTCAACCTTTTCACCAAGATCTGTGAGTATGTCTTGAAGTGCACCAATTGATGCACCAGTCCGTTTGGAGAGATCAAGCAATGTCATCCCATCAAAAATGTCAACTGTTTTATCTGGTGATGATTTGATAGCTATCTTTTGTTTTGGTGCAACATATGGCGCTTCTACAGGAGGTTGAGTTCTAGTTTCTCTTTTCACTCGCTTCTCCTTTTTAGGTGCTTTTAACCCTGCAACTTCTTCACGCTTCCTACTCCATGCTAACATGTATACACCTGCATGAAAATTCCTATAAAGAAGACGGTATTGTCACCTAATCTATAAGTGAAGCCTAAAATCCACAGGAAATAATAACAGTAGCAACATCTTACTAAAACAGATGCAAAACATATAATATATGGTGAAAAATTGTACAACATGAATAATTGTAGAAGACGGAATGAGTATATTTTTAAAAATACTGGAAATTATAAATGATACAAAGGTCAGTATCCCCAGAGAAAACAATATTAAGATTCACGATGGATCTAGTCCTCATTCAAATATATAGGATGGATGCTCAAGTAGGTTTACCATATTCATATAATGCGTGAATGCAACTGGAATACTTAAGGCATCAAATAGTGGGACCAAATAGATAATCATACCTGATAGTGCAGTGTTTATAAGCCGTACAATTAGCAGCACCTTTTACAATGGGTGTATGAGTATCGCTAAGAACGAAGTCTGCACTCAGGAAATATAACAGGTGTAACACCATTAACAACCTACTAGGGATCCAATGTATCGAACTAAATTTAACAATTAATGCGTAGAAGTTGATCTTCTGTGCTTAAAGCAATGTGAATTTCCCAGTGTAACTTAGGAAGCACAGTACTATTAACCATACAACATCATGCATAGAGCACTATCATCTTTAACATTCAGCAGGAAACCAACTACAGACTAAAAAAAATGTAACCCAGTTAATACCAAGATGAAATCTTGAGCTTGCAACTAACGCAGCAATTAGCCTTCCTAAAGTTAAAATGTGATCAATATATGCCAATAACAATCTCACCAGCCAGCTTTCCAAACGTCCCACTGGAAAAATTCTTCGCTCCCCCATGATCCACACGGGAGGCCAAATTCACAAGGCCCGTGTGAAAATCCTGCAAATTATGCAAAGCCCTTCAACTGTCAGTTCCGCAATGCAAAAGCCTCGAAAGGCATCGAGCTCCATGGGAGAGCATAAATGTTCGATTATAGCCTCGCAACCCACACGAACAGAAAATGCACGGGGACTCAGAGAGAGAGAGAGAGAGAGAGAGAGAGAGAGAGCATCACCTTCCGTCGCAGCATCCGCCACGCCATTCTCGGCGCTCCGCCGGCGGCGGCTCTTCCACCCTGCCCCCCACGGCGAGACTAAAGAGACGGGATAAGGGAGGAGGATGGGAAGGGATCCTGGGGACGTACGGCGATGGGAGAGGTTATCACCGGCGACGGCGGAGGAGGGCTAGGGTTGCTGGCGGCGGCGACGGCGGGGAGGAGCGGAGAAAGGTTTAGGGGGATGCAGAGGGTTCGGAGGAGATCAGTTGTTCGCGGTGGCCCCAGGGGCATTTTCGTCCGATCAGCTTGGAAGAATAAAGAAAATGGGAAGAAACTCTAGAAAATTAATACTCCCTCCGAAAAAAAAAAACTCGAGACGGAGGGAGTAATAAGTACTATCCCTCTCATATTAGTGATCGCTTTGACTTTTCGCTTGCAACGTTTGACCATTCATCTTATTTGAAAAATTAATGCAAATATAAAAAAGAATAAATCATACTTAAAGTAATTTTGATAATAAAAGAAGTCACGAACAAAATAAAAAATAATTCCATATTTTAGTTACAAAAAAAACTCAAAGCGACAAGTATTTTAGGACAAAGATAGTACTTAGTATATAAAAACTTCTGAAGTGACTTGAAATAGGAGAATTCATGACTTGAGGTATTATCATGTGAAAGGTGTATGAATTGAGAAAAAAAAAAGTCAAAATTAAGTGGCATATTTCGCATCGATTATGGATGTGGCAAATGATACACATTTGTGGCTATCGTGGTGAACTCGCCGTGGAGTTTACCTCACACAAAATAACCATGTACTCCCTCTATAAGGAAAAAGGCAACTCCTACGTATATGGAGTTAAAAGAGGACAGAAGACTAAAGACAATTTATTTATTGATACTTCTTCCATCCCAAAATAATTTAACCTAATACAAGATGTGCCATTTTGTGGTGCTATGAATCTGGATATGCGGAAATGCCTCATACCGTACCAGGTTAACTTATTTTTGGGACGGAGGGAGTAGAAAGGTAGTATTATAACAAGTATTGAGGGGGGAAATTTTTTTTACTAAGAATTGGTGGTACTAACTCCGTTTCATATTACTAGTCGTTTTGACTTTTTTTTATAAGTTAACTTCTTTAGGTTTGACCAAATTTATAGAAAAATATAGCAAATTTTTTAACACAAAACAAAAAATAAATCAAAATATATAACAAACCTAATTTGGTGTTGTAAGTGTTGCTATATTTTTTATAAAAAAAATTGACTTAAAAAAGTCAAAACGACTTATAATATCAAACGGAGGGAGTACCTAAGAAGATAGGAAATGACATATTTTGGAATAAAATTTAAACTTTAAGAGTTGGTTTATTTCAAAACTGTTGGGAGTAGTACTAGATTATTCATATCCATTACCATTATGTTAGATAAACAATTTCTGAAGTCTTCACTAGTAGAAAAGTTGATTAGCTAAGTATAGATTGTTCATTTGTTCCTACCACGAAAATAACAATGGAAATTATTCAGAATCTGTGTGCTAAAACTGCAGTATCGAAGATGTTAGATCTACCTATATTTCTCGAGGTGTTTGTGACAAGAAAAAGATTGATTATCTAATTATAGATTGTTCATAAATGATAAGAGATGATTGTTTTGACGTCGCATGCATTATTAACACGAGAAACTAATATTTGTTCATACAGTACAGAAATCTTTGTTTACAACTGCTCGAACCAAGAAACTATCTCACTTCTGCCTGGAAGAAAGTTCCTCTTTATAATAATGGAAAACTTATAATCCCCCGGCCTCTACATGCAAAGGTGCACACGGCCATCTTAACGAGGACTGCAAGAAAATTTGCTAATCTAAAAACATGTTGTTTTTACAAGAATACAGATAGCCAGGCAACATAATTTCACTTTGTACTGACTAACAAGTGTTCGTATGCATCATTGTCTAGATAATAAGTTTATCTGTAGGTTGTGCTATTAATCATCAGCTGGAACTGGAAGCCCCTTTGGTTGCAGGGGTCATCTCTAATGGCTATCTAAATCCCGAGTCCTTAACTGCATTAACCTACTGTAAATGAAAAGTTGCATCAAAGCAAAACTCTTTTCCAGGTTCGAATGCTGCTTCAAGCTCCTCATAGGTCTGTAGAACCTTCAGATTTTTTGATGCATCGAGGTCCTCCTGTAGTACAAAATAAAAGGAGGTAAACAAGTTTCTGTGCCATTTTTACTAAAGATTGAATGTCTGGAAAGGAATCCCTAACGAAAAAAAAGATACTCATCCATAATAAATTAATAATAATCTTATGAAATAGGAGTCAAATTTACCTTTTGGACATATTCGGCAATTGTGAGGCTGATGATATTCTTGATGGTTTCTTTCTTCACCTTTGATGGCCCAATTAAGTGCAGAGCAATCTCTTTTGGTATCTTCAGCAATCAGCACCACCAATGAATGTAATGTAAGTAAAAACAATATATGCATTTTTCCCGTAGAGTTCGAATGCATTTGCATACATGAAGTGGATGCAGTTCTTCGAATAGTCACATACTTTTTACAAGTCAGAATAAGAACTTACATCTCGAGTTTTCCCTGATCATCAGCAGCACCATGCGGATAAAGAATGCAATGGAAGGCAAACCAGACTTAGTTTCATATCACAAATTTCAGAAGTTGTGTAGGGAGTAGCAAAAAAACAAAGACACTAGAAAGGATTTAAATAAACAAAAAGGCAATATTCCTAAATATATTAATCTATTTTTTTGGAGATTAACAAAACAGTTCTGTTAATGCCTTAATGGTCCATCAAGACAATCTCAAGGAGCCAATCTGCTCAGACTTGAACTGCATATAGAAAAAAAATATAGTTCAAACTTTCTATTTCCTCACGCAAGCAATAAAATGTGAAATCAATATTCATCATGAAACTTCAGACACTGATGATTGTGAGGTTCTGGAAGAGAGACGACATAGGCTGATTCATGCATGAAGAAATCCCAGGTATGGAGGATGCAAGAGCAAAACACAGAAACATAACCAACCGCATGTTCGTCCAGTTCTATCTGAACTGAGATGGATACAAAATAAGGTTTGCCAAGATATAAGAGTAGACCTCCTTTCATTCGTCGAAAGCCAGGAAGTGGTTGTGCAGCAGCAACATTCTTTGAGAAAACTTTCTCAAAGATAGATTCTGTCATTGTATCAGCTACAGTTACTCGTAGCTGCATGTTGTAAGAAATGCTATGGACTGATCAACACTTTAAATTGAGATTATCGACTGATCAACACTTTAAGTTGAGATTTGTCCCAAAAAAACATTATTCTCTGTTGACATCTTTTACATTTTACCAATAATTAAGTGTTAACAAACCTTTATCAGTCCATCCTCTTCAGTTTGCACAGACACAAGAAAATCTTTGAAAGATACTAAAGACTCTGTGCTGGTTTCTGTACCTGATAGAGATACTCAAATATAAGGAAACAAACAAATATGTTCAGAACATATTTTGATAGAATAATAAGAGGATAAATGTGTACATTGTATCGGAGATACTGCCCCAAGAACACTGCAAGCTTTACGGGTGATTCTGCAATAGAAATTCTAAACGCATTCAACACTAGACACTATTTTCCCAATGCAACATACCATACAAGAAATGAATTGTAGACTGACATCCTTTTGTCTACTCCTAAGCCATACAAATCATGCTTAGCAAGAAACTGTTCATTTTTCGCGAACGCAAAAAAAAAAAAAAAAAAAAAAAACTGTTTATGAAAGTGATAAGCACCGGTATGAACACTGCTTGTTGAACATCACCGAACAAGCTGGAGATAGGCGATGCTGCAGTTGCATGTCACTGGCATATCTGTGATTGATCATCTGCGAACAAAAGGAACAAACAAGTTGCTCAGCTACTGAACACCATCCCGATAATGTTTTCTTAACTCATACTCTGTATATATGCCGTGTAATGCCACAGAAATAAAAGCATATTACCCCACAAATACCTTTCAACAATACTTACAGTAATCTTAGAATAATTTGCCAAAAGAAAAGGACGCATGAGAACAGGATATATAGTAAACATGGTACAACAACTCTACTAGCTTCCTGCAAACAATAGAGGGTTTTGGATGCACTTTGGTGCAGAAAGGGTACAGACTGAACAGTTAAACTGACTAACTGAGGCATTCAATCTACAAAATTATAGAGGACAAAATGCAATAAGGTACTAGCAGAAATGTATCTTGAAAAGGAAAATCGATGTTATTTTATTCAGGATAATAACAAACACTGAACCCAATTTTATCCACGGGTGCGAGCAAAAGAAATGCCCTGATATTTTCTGCAGAGAATGGCAAGAAACATCCAACAACAACAGCCAAATCATCGCAGAACTTCCAAGACAAAACCATATACTGAAACCGCACAAGTTTTCCTCATTTCTTCTCATGAAACAACCCAGAGGATGCCACAGAATCCGCCGTTTCTTCGGTGCGCACCGGCACCCAGAAGAGAAGAGAGAAAGGGAGCAGGTCACCTTGGGGTTCTTCGCGAGGAGGCCCATCGCCATCGCCATCGCCGCAGGCGCAATGGATAACTCCATGGCTGCTCGCGGTCAGAGTTCGCAGCAGCCGCAGCTGCTGCTGAGCTTGACTACGACTAGTACTCTTTCCAGATCGGACGGTCCATCTTGCTCTGACGTGGGATCGGACGGTCAGTATAGGAAGATGCCTCACGCGCCTCTTCCCATCTGGACCGTTGATTTCCGATCGGACGCCGCGGTGGAGTTCACTTGTGAAGGTGGAGTTGGACGCGGCGGCGGAGGTGGAGATGGCGGCGGCGGCGGCGGCGACGGCGGAGGAGTACGAGGAGATGCTCCGGGTGGTGGAGGCGATCGCCACGCGCATCCGGTGGCGCCTCCGGCCCCACTCCAAGCGCCGCCTCCTCAACGGTGGGTGTCAACTCATTGGCTCCATTTGTGTCTCCGCGATGGAGGGTTTGGGCATGGTCATGCTAAAATGGCTCCTTTCTTGCTTAAATTAGTGATCTAATACTGTCTTTATGATTTTTTTTATGAAAAACGAGAATCAATGGTGAATCCATCCGATTGTAGAAGCCAATTCAACATTACATGATACATCATGCTTAGGACTAGGAGTTCTAAAGTGACCTTTTGTCCTTATCCAATTCTAGTTATCGCTCATTTCGGCGGTAATTCCAATTCCAACACGTTTAGGTTTCCAAGATAATGGATTGATGGGGAATTTACAGAATGCGTTTACGGAGAGTGATTGTCTTTATATCGAGTTGTAGTTGGCAGTACTACATCAAAGAACAAGCTAAAAATGCCATGGTTAATTATTGGCAGATATACTGTTCCTCTGCAGTGGGTTGCGGCCTGTGGTACTGATGGATTACGGTGGCACAATGCCTGAACTACAGGACAATCTCTGCTCCCTGCTGCATCATGCTCGGCAGGTAACCAACCCATTTTGATGATTCAATCTATTGATTACCCCCATTGAGTAATATGTAGTGGTATTGTCTATGGCCGCATAACGCATTAAGAAGGTTTTATCTCACATTGCTGGTCATCATCATTACGCAGAGGAAAGATTTCTAGTAGCAATTTTGCAAGCCATGACATTGCTCGCTTGCAAGTCATATTGGGAGTTATTTTCCACTTGCTGTTGAAAGACGAGCAGGGGCCTTGGATGTAACTATGCCCTTACAACCTTACTTCTTGTTCCATACAACATATCTGTGAGCCAAAGCCTGTGGCCTTATGTCAACATAGATTAGATCAATGGATGCTAGCTGGTTACTAGAGCTTCACTTATTGCTTGGCTATCAGAGATTGGTTTTATTAAGAGAAATATCTTGAATGCAGACCTTGAATTTCTGTTACATAATCACTCCTTAATCTTGAAATTTATTTTTACGGCATGTGCTTTGTTTCAGTTTGCAACTTCTTTCTCGGCCGAAATATAATCTGTGTTGGAGATTCTTTCGAAACTAGTGATGCGTGCTTGTCCTTCTAGTTCAGCCATATATTAATATAATTCTGCTTGCAGGAGTCAAGCATGTTGAGTCCACTAAGGCTGATGGTTATTAAAGATATGCTTTACTTGATTCATGCAAAGGGTCTTGCTGAGCATGCTTCACCAAGTGCAAGGTCACAGCACAAGCTCGCTTTTGTGGACCTAGAGAAAAGCTGTAGCAAAGTCTTTGCCTTCTCAGATCCTGTCTTTCTATTTTCTCTGTCCTATGTCCTATTCTTCTTTCCTTTGTTGTATTACTGAATGCTGTCTTGGTGCAGCTGCTTTCAGAAACCGAAGAGAATGGTGCTCTGCATGAGTTTTTATCCATCCAAGACCTGTTTTCAGCCAACTTCCCTGTAGATGCAGATGTAGATCTGCCTATTATACAACCTGAAGCAAAAGGGCAGATGTCAGAAATTCCAGAGGGAACCACTATGGATAATTTTGGCTTTCGGATTGCTGACGGAACATCACTGGTTATTGATCTGAGCACCTTCCTTGAGAGTGCCCAAATTGCATTGCCTTCTTTGAATGGGTAAATTCTAGTTCTATATATTATTGAACCCACAACCATTCAGTGTTGAAAGTACCTTTTTTATTGGTTCAGTTTTCTGGTTCTTTTAACATCAAAAGGAGATGTTTGCTATGTTGGTGAAGTTAAGCAGAAGCACTTAAATTTGTCTATATTAATATTTAATCATATTGCAATGTTTTTAGGTGGCTTTTGGGTTATCCTGTAACATATTTGTTTTGCAATGAAAGTGCGGAAACTGCCACACAAAATCTCTCCAAGCACTCTCTGCATATCTATAGGATATATGCTGTGAGGTTTGGCATTTTAGACTGACCCACTTGGAGTTTTCTTTTGGGATGAGAATTCTTTGAAGCTTACTTGGAATATCTTTACTGCAGATGTCGTCAATCAGCTGCCAAACAGTCAGAACAGGAACTGATGAGGTATTCTATTTTTTTCTACAATTTTATCATTTATGGCTCCACCTACATTACTACATGAGGTATATGATATACAGAAATGCCTCTACATGCTGTCATACAACATACACCTTTACTATCAAATCCTCTGTAATCTGCCCGGTGAAAAATCCTCTGTAATTTGTAGTGGACTGTATATGAAATGAGTGGTTGGTTAAAGCAGTAGGCAGGTAGTTATGATATCTCATTTTTTTTATCTTCTCCCCTACTTTACTTGTGATATCTTTTAGGGTGCACCCTTTTCTTCGGTGAACTTTTACATGCCATCTTATGGAGAAACCGTATATGATGTGTCAGTTTTTCAGTTCCTTGTGACATGAGCACCAAACGTGATGAAGAACCATGGGCGAAATCATTTCTGGCACACATGAATGAGAAGATCAAGCAATGCAATCATGTCTGGGCATCAGTTCGGATGGAGATCGAGGTTTTCCATAGCCAATCAGGACTCATTGTTTTGTAGTTCAGATCAGCAAGCCTTTGACTATATGATACCTGCAAAGTTGGCATTCACTGATCCTACAAGTTGCATCTATACCACCTGTAAAATGGTCCAAGTTGGTGAAGCTTCTTTCAGTTCATTCGGCATTCAGGTGGAATCAAGGAGGCAACGATGAATAGAGATATATATCATGATAAATTGATGATCGCATATATAGATCTGTGCCTGCAACATAGCAGAGAGATAATTTGTTCTGCAATGTTCAACGACGAACATATCCTCTGTAGTCTGTACCACAGATGTTGCGAATCACAACTATGTTTCTACTACTACTTCACTCTGAATTCTAATTCGGACTCAATTATACATGTACTCTGCAGTTCTCTACAGATCTTCTTAAACCTATGAATAATCAAATATAAATCATCACTCTATTGAAACACCAAATGCATAATGTCAAGAATTGCAGTCTGGATATTAATATACCAAACACATGTAGATTTTGAACCTGATTTGACTAGGCTGTGTTCTTAAGTCTATCTTTCCAACTTCACTTTACTTGTTTTTCACGCGCACGCCTCCTAAACTGCTAAACGGTACGTTATTTTGTAAAAAATGAAAAAAAGAAAAGTTATTTTTGAAAATCATATTAATCTATTTTTAAAGTTTTTTAAGTTGATACTTAATTAATCATGTTGTTTTGTGTGCCCGGGGATGAAGTTCCCCACCATAACACACGAACACACATGTACTTTTAACATACAAGCTCTTGATTTGTCTTGCACCACTCATTTCATATGGCCCTGCACTACGAGTCTGTTTGTTTACTTGAGTCCCTCTAATATGTCCCATATGAGGCATCCAAGCTGACCATAGCTAGGATGTGCAGGAGCAAGAGCGGTTGTTTGCTTAGTTGTATCAATTAGGTCTACACGACAGGCGATATTGTTTGGTTGATTGTATGAAGAGTTTAGTGTAAATGTTGCATACATGAGATTTTATTTGGTTGTATGCATATACCTCCTGTTTTTTAAGGTGAAATTGCCATTTTCGATTCAAAGATGAAAAAAAATCATTCCAACCATTAAACTGTCAAACGCAGGGCGACATCTGGGATTGAGAGGTATGACCGTATGAGCAACATCACGCGAGGCATTTAACTATTTGTCACTTTTAAGATGTGACAATTAAGAATTTATCACTCATAGTCTATGATATGTGAGTTCTCATGTACCTATGACATGTGAGACCAATGACAAATACTTAAATGCCACTTATAAGTGTGGCAAGTAGTTAATTATCTCACATCACGCAGGAAAACCGTAACGCGCGGCTGCACGAATCGCAAAGCAGGAGTGCGATGCGGTTCGGGTCAGATTCGGATCAGGACCCGGTATTAGTATCTGTATCCACAACCCGACCACGACTCTCTCTCCTCTTCGACTCTCTCCGCAAGAAAGAAAAGGGAAACCAAAACAAAAGCCGCCGTGACGAAGCAGATCGAAGCATCGCGCCCGAGCCAAACCTAAATCCCTCGGAGAGAGAGAGAGATAGAGAGGAGGAAAAAATCAAATCTTTTTGAGGAAGAAATCATGGCGGTGGGTTTTCATCCTCTCCAGATTCTTGCGGCGATTCATCTTCCGTTCCCCCTTCTTCTTCTTCTTCTTCTTCTTCTTACCTGATTTTTTTTCCCTTGGATTCCGCAGTGGCAGCAACCCATGGACGGATCCCACGCGAGCGGGAGCAAGGCGGCGGCGGCGGTGGCGGATGGCCCGGGAACCCAGAGGACGCAGTAAGATTCGAAATCTTTGATCTGTTCTTTCCGGTGTTCGTCGTGGTGGTGGTGGTTTCGGATCGTGATTAGGGCGAAAAAGATTACTCCTTGCGGGGGTTATGGAGGAGATTGATGCATTGTGGACTGTTAGTTCGTAGTGGCGATTTGGGTGATGAGGGGGAAGCTATTCTTTTAGGTGATTGGATTTGGGTGGTGAGGATTGAGGGGAATCATGGGATGCGTTTTTCCCCTGGTGAAATCGACCTGAGATGGCTAGGTCTCACTTTTTTGTCGAGTGAGAAATTGAGGTTTTAACACAACCTAGGGTTTGTGGATGGGTTGCTGCTAGTTAAGTATGCTTTCTTGGGTTGTGGCAATGGTGTTTATATCTCCATCTGTTAAATCGCCACAATCTAGGGTTTGTAGATGGGTTGCTGCTAGTTACTGCAAATCATCTGTTCTCTTGGGTTGTGGCGCGGTGAAGTTGTGATAATGATGTTATTGTTATGATCCTATGTAAATTTTAGTCTTCATAACTGTGGGTGATTCTTGTATTGTTATTTTCTCAGTGCTTATAGAGGAGTACAGAGATGCTTGATGGGTCATCCGTAGTTATTGTATGAACTATGAACTGTGGATTGGTATTTGGTTATTCTTCCTTAAGAATAATTGATGGAATGCCAAATCAGTGGAAAAGTGAGGGTTTATGTGTGCTTGTGGTAGGAGTTTCACATTTCTTAGTTTTGGGCTAAGTAGATAACATCATCATATCTGGGTGGTCAGACATTACTTTTAATCAACAAGCAAACAATTTTAGTTTCTGTTAGGGTTGTTCAAATTGCAAACAGCAAACTTTGCGGTTATAACTTCCGAAAATACCTTCAGTTTCCAAACTGTCTATCAGTATCGCTTTAGTGTCAACTCTTTTCATGCTACTGTTTTTGCTGCTTTGATACGGTCTTGTTTAACTCTTGCCATTGTATCAAACAGGTATCCTTATGTGACTGGCTCATCAATTATTGCACTGAAATACAAGGATGGTGTCATCATGGCATCCGACACTGGAGGTTAGTTGGCAATTCTTCTGCAAAGTCAAATATAGTTCTTGCAATGTGGAATTTATTCTTCTACTTCTTTTGCCAGCCTCATATGGCTCAACTTTGCGATACAAGAGCGTGGAGCGCATTAAGGCTGTTGGTAAGCATAGCCTTATTGGAGCAAGTGGGGAGTTCAGTGATTTCCAGGAGATTTTGCGCTATTTGGATGAATTAACGTAAGTTCGCTCAAATGGTTGACCCTTGTTTTCCTTCTCATTATTATGAACAATCGATGTGATATGTTTGTCCATCCACCTTTCAGCCTGTCCGATCATATGTGGGATGATGGAAACTCCTTGGGTCCCAAGGAGGTCCATAGCTACCTGACGAGAGTGATGTACAACAGGCGCAACAAGTTTGATCCCCTCTGGAACTCCCTTGTAATTGGTGGGGTGAAAAAGGGTCCAAAGGGTGAAGAGAAATATCTTGGCATGGTATACTCTTTAGCCAAAAGAATAGTATCTTTCCATTGAACTACTGTCAGATTATCAACTGCTTATTTATATTTTCTTGCTTCTCCAGGTTAACATGATTGGTACACACTTTGAGGAAAACCACATTGCCACTGGGTTTGGGAACCATATGGCAATCCCAATACTTCGTACTGAATGGCGCGAGGACATGACATTTGAGGAAGCTGTCAAGCTTGTTGAGAAGTGCTTGCTTGTCCTGCTGTACCGTGACCGATCATCTATTAACAAGTTCCAGGTATGAACCTGTTGCTGTTTCTAAAATACCTTGTTCTGCTAAATGTGTTATTAAACATGTCCTTTTAACTAATGAAATATGTGCTTGAATGACATAGATTGCCAAGATCACAACTGAGGGAGCGACCATCTACCCGCCATACTCATTGAAGACTTACTGGGGCTTCGCTGCCTTTGAAAATCCGGCCCAGGGTGCTGTAGGATCATGGTAGATTTATTTATGCTGCAGAGGCTGAATGTCAGGCCATGAACCAGGATGAAGAAACAGGCTCTGTTGCTGAGAGGCCTTGTGAAATGTTTTATCTGAACATCAATGAAACTCCAGATTTGCTTTGTATGACATTCTGATCGTGCAACTTAGATTTCTACCTTCTGTGGCCGTTAAGCCTGGAACTATATTATATATGATGAAAGTCTGTTTTGTTTCGAACTTTCGATTGCCTGGAACATGCTGTGCGAGGTTGCTAAGCTTACACAGCTTGACGGCTACAGCTTGTCCTTCGATCAACCTATGCCAGGAAAAAGTTTGTTTTCTAAACAAACAAGGGCTCATCTGGAATGTAGGGATTTTACAAGAATCATTCCATTTCCTCAAAACTATTGTAAAATTTCCCTATTCCAAAGGAGGCCTAAACTTGTGTTACTGAAGTAAAAGTAAGCAGGACAACAGAATCCAAAGGAGGCCTAAACTAGTGTTACTGAAGAAAATGGTATAATAAGGTCAAAACCATGCTAATTTGCAACGCGTGGATACTGATTTAGAGAGACCGATTTAGGAGAAATATCTCGGACGTGAGAGTAAATTGAGAAACCTTGCTAATATATTTGTGCAAAGAGAGGTACATCATCCATCACATTACAAGATGCTGAAATTGATCAGGATTTAATCTACAAGGCTGGCTACAAACATCCATGGCAAAACTGTGTCACTGACACACTGAGCATCTGGTAGTTTGTTACTTTCTTACATCATGGAAGCAGGGTGGTGACTCTCATAGGGGGCGTTCCACTACTATTCTTTGTGGCAAAGAGAATGTACATTGGGGAACAAGAATCTTAATATCTTATTACCGTTCCGAGTTAAAAATTGTCGCTGTTCTCAACAAATGTCAACAAATACCTAACGACTAACCGCCTATGATCCTCGTTGCTTTCTTTACCGCTCAATTCTATCATGCCTTTCATTACCCGGGTGCAAAGCCTTTCGAGCTGTGGCACGCCATAGCCTGTGGTGAGTTCCATGAAGCGTCGCTTCACGACTTCCAGTTGTTCAGGTATGTCGTCGCTAGCAGGCATGGCCGCGTTTTCACCGTTGTCAGTCACCATGGGTTCAGGATTTAGTTCCGGTAATTCTGGTAATTCAGTTGGTGGATTGTCAGTTTCTTTCAGAACACCATTTGAATCTGGTTCTTTTGGAGCTTCTTCTGGGGAGATTGGCTTTGACAAATCAACATCACCAAGAGACTTGTCATCTCTTGTTGTCGATTCTTTAACCATGCCTGAAACAGGAATTAGTTCAACTCTTTATACAATCACTAGTATCACGAGTTGATATGCAATTGCATTAATCACAATCAAGGAAGAAAAATCATGTGAAGTTGTACACTGACCTTGTTCAGTTTCGGTGCTTTTCTTTTGCCGCTTCAACGCCTCATAACTTCGTGATAGATTTACTTCTGGTTGTACATTACGAAGCCTTGCGCTCATCCTAGTACCAGATACCAGCTGAGCAACAGGCGCTGCTTGAAGAATAGAGCTATCTCCATCATCCGTAACCTGTAGTGGTCCCCCCTGTTCAGCAATTTTATCACAAAAGGACACCAAAGATGGGTCCATCTGTGACAACATTCCTTGCACCTGACCAAAGAGACCCATTAGTTACACAACACTATAACAAAGATGAGCCTAGTCCATAATCAACTACAAACATAAGTGGTAGAATAAATAAAATACCACATCTCGTAGTTCACATGCTCTACTGACAATACGAGATCCATTGTAGTCACTCCCATTATATGTCTGCACAAACAGATTATCAACGAAGAATAGAAACAATAGTTAAGAAGTTTGGTCACGGCTTCAGACATGTAAAAGGAGTGGAGCATTAAATGCTCCATTGAGAATTTCATACCTTTGCATTTGAGACTATAAGATCAATGTCCTTCATAAATGAGGCCCGAGTAAGGTACTGCCCAGAGTCCACCTGCTGTAAGACAGTAGCCATATCCATAGGATTGTGAACTACAGATCTATAGTCAGGTACCTCCTCTTCGGATACTGGGAAGTGAAACACATTGAACCTTTTGTTGTACAGAATGCTGAAAAGAGGAACAGACACTTTATTGCTTCTGATTTTGAACAATAATGTCCAAAACTCCAAAACAATAGTAGTCTAAGTACACTTTGTTACTTCTAATTTTGAACAATAATGTCCAAAACTCCAAAACAATAGTAGTCTAAGTAAAAAAAATTTGCACTGTGGCTTGTCTCCAAACTTTATTGAACATATTCAAATTTGAGGTATTGCTTCTGAAGAATATGCTAGACAGCTAAGTTTTCCAATTTTGACTGATGTCTTATCTTAGTTTTGCTTATTGATTTCCACCACAATTTTTTCCAGCCACCTTCAGTACTCATCATCGACTTCTACTAGTAACATAAGTGCAGCTAAGTTATGTTTCAAAAGGATATATTCCATCCTAAAAATAAGCTTTATCAAGCAAATGCATACTCCTGATTTTTAGAACGCAACCAAATCCCCATCTGGAACATTCCTTCAACTGAATAAATATGGAGCTGAGACGGGAATAGCATAGATAGGCATAGGCTAAAAATGGTCATGGGTGTAAACTAGGCGGTGTTTTTGTAGAATATAAATGAAACTATACTGTTCTTTAGCAGAACTGTAAAAACTAACCACAGTGCTAACAGCAATGAATGGTGAGAACAGAGAAACAAAATTTGAACATATATGGAACTCAACAAAGGAGTGAATTGCAGACCGGTTACAAATATCTCGAAGACACATTCTCATCCGTCGAACAGCATGTTGTTCGGCTTCTGCCTTCGCTTTTAGCTCTGAAAGTTTGGGACCATCCACTTCCTTTGGTGCTTTGGGAAGATCAACAGAAGACTTCTGGTCTTTAGACTTACTCCTAGACTCTTCCATTTGAAATGAGAGCAATGACTCAAACAGTGCATGCAGGTATCTCATTCTATCATCATCACTTGGTTGATCCACTTCATATCTATCAAACAAACAGATTTTCTCAATGAAAGACAAGACCAATATTGGAGGATAATTTAGACCTTGGCAATTGAGAAGAACCAAGTCAAGCAAAACAGCATCTGACCAGGAACTTACACATTACGAGAAGAAAATATGGAAGCACACTCTTCTTCAAGGTCACCAAAGGCCACTGACGAGGTTCCTAGCAACAAAACTGGAAGGTTGGATGGCAGCTCATTCAACAAAGTCAATAGCACAGCCCTAAGCTGTTCATGTGCCTGTTACATCAAAGATGAAGAATATAATCAATTATTCAATATTTACCAACAATCATTTCAACACTAAATTATATACAGCTTGGAGCTTACTAACCGTATCCCACCAAAGATGAAACTGAGGCAAGTACAGTATTGACGGGGTTGTTCTCCTAGCTTCCCCAAAAATGTGCACAAGAGCTTCTTCAGGTGTCTTTGCACTTGGATCAGACAGAAGAGACGGCAACCCCAAGGAGTGAACAGAAAATTTCTCAAGTTCGTGCAAAACAGCTGGCCCAACATGATCCTGCTAAGCGTAAAATACATTAATGATATGAAAGGACACAAAATGGTGATATATCTATGTAAAAGAGGATGAGGGGCCCTACCAGTCCAACACTCACACCACCGCACATCAAAAGTCGAGGTCTATAAACAAGAGGGATGGATGATCCATAGGAAAGGGCAGAGAACTTGCTAACATCTACTGATGATAGGAAAGGGAAAATATCAGCAATTCTTTCCATTATTTTTTCATGATGCCTTTTTAGACAAGGAGCGATAACTGGTGACAGCGGCCTTGAATGCACAATCGACCCCCTATGTGCAGCTGGAGTTATTGTAGACATAGCTTCCAAGAAGTGGTACTTCTCAACCCTGACTGAATCAACATCAATGACAAACTTATCGTCACTCGTGTAGACCTGAGGATACTTCTCCCTAAATGCTCGAATAGCAGCTTCTGTACATAAGGCTTTCAAATCAGCTCCACAATACCCCACACAGCTTGCAGCAAGCTCCGTCTTTAATTCCTTTGGTGGAGGGTCCTTCCATTTCCGTGTATGAATGTCCAGTATTTCAGCCCTTGCCTCATAACCAGGTAGAGGAAAAAAGAACTCACGATCAAATCGGCCAGGCCTACGCAATGCTCCATCAATGGCATCAATTCGGTTTGTTGCTCCAATCAAAACAACTTGTCCACGTGAATCCAGACCATCCATCAAAGCAAGCAATGTAGAAACAATTGAATTGTGAATCTGCTCTTGCTTGCTAGACCTCACAGGTGCCAAACCATCTATTTCGTCAAAAAATATGATTGATGGCTGATTCTTCTGAGCTTCCTCAAACAGTAGCTTGAGCTGCCTTTCAGCCTCTCCAACCCACTTACTAAGAACATCAGCTCCTTTTCTCATATAAAAGCTAACCTTCTGACCAGCTTTAGAGGCAGCACACGCTAAGGCACGAGCAATCAATGTCTTCCCTGTACCAGGAGGGCCACAGAGAAGAACACCCCTAGGAGGAGTAATGTGATAGTTTGCAAAAAAATCTGGATAAAGCAAAGGGAAGAAAACCATTTCCTTCAATGCATCAATGTAATCGGACAGCCCCCCTATATCATTAAAACTCACACTCCCGTCAACCTGGAGAGGCTGAATATCAGCTCCTCCCTTGGAACTTGGTCCAGCAGTTTGGATCCCTGGCATAAGTGAAGAAGTACTCACTGTGTTGTCACCCTGATGACCCCAACCGGATGCTCCAACATTCAGACCCCATGCTCCTGGACAATGCATATCCAATCCACCTAAAAACCACGGCATACCTCCTCTCCCACCACGCATCCATGGCATGGATGGACCTTCATCTGGCTCATCCACAAGAAGAGAATCATCTGAATCATCTGGCAATGAGAATCGAGGGCGCTTATGCATGCGTGAACCACCCTTTTTCAAATATTTGCTGTTCTTTGGACCAATTCCATGTACTAGTACTCTACGGGGTGATTGTGTTCTGTGCTTCCCTTCCTTCCGTGGGGAGGGTCTACGAACTTCTGAACGATCCCTGAGATCATATCTCCTCCTCCCTTCTTGTTCTTCCTCACCATCTTCATCATCTCCATCCGCTTCAGCTTCATCACCTCCATCAACTTCCTCCTCATTGCCATCCTCT